CGCAGGGCTGCGCGTGAGGGGCGGCCGGTGGGCCGCCGGGACATCTCCGCGGCGGCCGAGGTCGTGAACAGTGTGGTGGGCCACATCCTGCAGAGACTGAAGAACTTCGACTCCGAGTTCAAAGGAGTCGAGCTGCTGCGCACGGGGAGCTACTACGAGCACGTGAAGGTGAGCGCCCGGCGCGTCCCTGCACCGCGCGGGGTCCCAGTCTCACCCGTGTCCCCACCCTCCCCCGTGCTCCCCACCGGCCGAGATCGGTGACGGCTCCTCACTTCCCCTTCGGAAGTAACTCAGACTCTCCTTCGGTGGCAGGGGACGCCGCTCTGAGAGCGACTGTGCTGTGGATGCACCCATTGACAAACACTCCAGTCATTCAGCCCCCAGAGGGATTGCCCGCTCTCCGGGAGACCCTTTCCTGGGGGAATTCAAATGTATAGATTCGTTCATGCAAGAAAACTTTCTTTAGCAGGGCTATGCGTGGTGTGTTGACCCGAGGTTCCTAGTCAAATTCTGACTTGGATAATTTGAAGTGGCATGTGAAATAGCCCACCGAATTCGTGTACCCAGAGACTCCCCAGTGAGGAGGTCATCTGTAGTGCATAGGAAAAAATGCCGCCACTCTCTCTCCCAAATTCACCGGCCCCTCTGCCCGGAATTTCTTATACCGATGTCATAGTAAGCTCACAGTGAATGATGTTAAAAAATAAATGAAAACTGGGCCAGTAAGTGGTGTGGTGGTTAAGGTGCTGGACTCCCACATGATGGACCATGGTTCCAGTCCCAGACCTGGTGGCTCTCTTTCTCTCTCTGCTTCTGTCTGGTGAGTGCAAGTGTCTTATAACAAATTAAAATAATAATAATAATAATAATAAGTAAGATAAAGTAAACAAATGATATATAATAAGAGCGGGAAACACCAGGTTCGATGGTGGTTAAGGCGCTGGATTCCCACATGGTGGACTGTGGTTTGAGTCCTGGACTTGGTGGCTTCCATTCTTACTTTCTCTGTCTGTCTCTCTGGTGAGTGCATGTGTCCCATAACAATTTTTATCTTTTTATTTCTTTTTTATTTTAAATTTATTTATTTACATTCATTCACATTCATTCATCATTACAGTATACAAAATGAGATTTTTTCCATCCAGAATACACTGTATATTGACTCAATCAAGGATATTACCATACGTGTTATCATCAACAAATAATTTCCCATTTCTTGTTTCTTATGTATTTTGCTTATCTTTCCCACTTGATTCCCTATCTCTCACCCTCTGCCAAGTCACCCCCTCCCCTTCTCCCACCCTGTCTCTGGTTTCTACAGTTGTTTTCCATGCACTTTTGTCACAGCTTATTGATTCACGAAAGATCTTAATTAATCTGAATAGTTTCAATAACAAGTGCAGCTGCTATACACATATCTATGAACATCATGTCTGACTTTAGGCATAAACCTCAGTGAGTAGAATGAACATACTATAAAGTAGTACCTAGCTGGGGCTATATAGCTTACTGCAGTCATTAAACAGGCATTTTTAATGCATTTTTTAATTTCAAGAAAAGCTATTTTAATAGATGAAAATTGAAAAATGTTCAGAGAAGTTTGCTTAAGACTTAAAGCCTCAGGACCAGCAGTTAGCATAACGGCTATGTCGCTGGACTCCCACGTAGTCGACCGTGGTTCGAGTCCTGGACTCAGTGGCTTAAAACTCACGCCGGGTGCGTATGCGTGCATGCCCAAGATCCCAAGAGGAGAATGGAGGAGAAGGGATTGCGGCGTGACCATCCCCCCTGGGGAGTGATTTCTTGCTTTCTGTCTCTCTGTCTCTGTCTGTCTGGCAAGCGCATGTGCCCTATAGCATAAACCATTTCAATAAAAAAGAAAAAAAGCCTAGAAAAAGGTTAGGATTCATTTCAAACAGTAGGTAGATGAACTTAACTGTTCAAGAGAAGACAAACATCCTTAAATCTGGAAAACAAAGCATAGAAGAAAATCAGTAAAATTTTAGTCAAAAGTCATAAAATTCTATTTCACCAGTTCAGTTTCATGTCATTAATCTCTCTTCTGTTCAATTTGCAGTGCTACTGTGGTCCCTTTCCATTTAAATTCTGGAAGTTAACATTCAATGTTACTGTTAGTCTTTCCAGACTTGTCCCTCTCATTAAGTTGGCCATCGTCTTGGCTGCTTTTTGTACTCTTCTTTCTGTGTCTGACTTTAGCTTTCCTGGTATAGCACTCCATTTAGCACTTCTTGGAGAGCTGGTCTGGTGTTGGTAAATTCTTTTAAGTTTTGTTTACCTGAGAATGTTTTTGTCCTTTATGAAGGATAAACTGGCCAGGTATAGTATTCTTGGTTGAAATTGTTTTTCATTTAAGATTTTGAATATATTTCCCCATATCTTCCTTGTTTGCATCTTTTTTTTTGAGAGGTTTTCACCATAGGGCATATGCGCTCGCCAGGCAGACAGAGAGAGACATAGAGACAGAAAGTGAGAAATCACCCCCTGGGGGGATGGTCACGCCACAATCCCTTCTTTTCCATTCTCCTCTCGGGATCTTGGGCACGCACGCACATGCGCCCGGCGTGAGTTCTAAGCCACCGGGTCTGGGACGTGAACCACGGTCGACTACGTGGAAGTCCAGTGAAATAGCCATTACGCTAACTGCTGATTCTCATTTGCATCATTTTTGACGAGAGGACCAATGTTAGCCTGATGGGATATCCTTTAAAAGTAACTTGTTGTTTTCTTGCCAGCTTTAATATCTTGTCTCTGTGGTTTTGGGGAATCTGGCTCTGATGGGCCTTGGAGAAGATCTTGGATTGCACTCGTGCAGCCTTTCCCTCGTGCATGTACCTGGGGGAAGAGAGAGCTCGCATCTTTTTCTTAAAAGAGCACCAATCCTGTTTGATTAGGCCCTACCCTTTTTTTACAAGAAAAAAAAATTACTTGACTTTATTTATTTATTTATATTTGACCAGAGAGCGATAGAGCGAGAGCGAGAGAGAGAGAGAGAGAGAAAGCTGCCAGATCTGGGACTCAAACCACAGTTGACCATGTGGGAATCCAGTGCTCTTAACCACCATGGCACCTGCTGGCCCCTAGGCCCTACCCTTATGACCTAATTTAACTGTAATTATGTCCTAAAAACCTTGTCTCTAAATGCACCCATACACTCCTGGCATGTGTTTAATCCACTGGATCTGGGACTCTAACCTCAGTTGTCTATGTGGAGTCCAGTGACATAACCAATGTGCCATCTACTGGTCCCAAAATACAGTCACTTTGGGGAGTTAGGGATATGACCTACGAATTTTGAGGAGGGACACAATTCAGTCCATTGTATGGTATATCTCAGTTTGGACTAGCCACATTTGACATGGTCAGGAGACTTGGGTGGCTACTCCATACTATACTGGACAGTGCAGTCCAACAGCCACATTTAAAGCCTGCTTCTAACCAGTGAGAGACTTGCAGCATTTTTAATGTAGGAAAAATAAGTATTTATTATCATTGCTATAATTATTATTGTAAGGATTAATTAATTTTTTCCCTTTTTCTTTTTTTTAAAAAATTTCCTGAAGGGCATAAATGTTGCTGGAGAGAGAGAGGGCAAATGAGAAATTCTCTGCAGTCTCTTCTCTTCCATTCTCCTCTAGGGATTTTGGACATGCAAGCACATGTGCCTGGTGTTTTTCAAGCCACTGGGTCTGGGACTGGAACTGCACCATCAGCCCATGTATGATCCAGTTGCCTTAACCATCATGCACTATCTGGCCCCTAAAAACATTCTTTGATGCCCCCTGCAAATGCTATGGTTCAAAACACTAGGGGAGTGAATGACTTGGAGTTCATTCCCACAGGGGCAGTGGCAGCCCTACAGAGGTAGCACTTGATAACTGAATGGGAGGTGAGACACACGTTTGAAACTATTGTGACAGAAGGGAGCTGCAGTGTGTGTCTTATAAAGGTAACATACTGGGACCAGCTGTTAGTGTAATGGCTATGTTGCTGGATTCCCATGCAGTCGATCGCGGTTTGAGTCCCGAACCTGGTGGCTTAAACTCACGCCGGGCGCATGTGCATGCGTGCCCAAGATCCTGAGAGGAGAAGGGACGAGAAGGGATTGCGGCGTGGCCATCCCCCTGGGAGGTGATTTCTCGCTTTCTGTCTCTCTGTCTCTCTCTGTCTCTCTGGCAAGCTCATGCGCCCTATAGCAAAAACCTCTAAAAAAAAAAAAAAGGTAACACACTAAGAATTTCTAATCCTATTATACTTTAAACAAACCTGATACATATATTTAAAGCTTTTATCAGATCATTTTAAATTATTTTAAATTGTAAAAATAATGTTTACTCATGATAAAAATAAAATGCTTATTGGGAACCAGCAGTTAGCGTAATGGCTATGCCGCTGGACTCCCACGTAGTCGACCACGGTTCGCGTCCCGGACCCGGTGGCTTAAAACTCACGCCGGGCGCATGTGCATGCGTGCCCAAGATCCTGAGAGGAGAATGGAGGAGAAGGGATTACGGCGTGACCATCCCCCCGGGGGGTGATTTCTCACTTTCTGTCTCTATGTCTCTCTGTCTGTCTGTCCGGCGAGCGCACGCGCCCTATAGCAAAAACCTCTCCAAAATAGAAAAATAAATAAAAATAAAATAAAATGCTTATAGAACCGACAAACTAAAACCCAGCAATACTGTTCTACCTGCCCCCAAAGTGTATAAATATTAGGAATCTTTTTTTTTTAATTGCCGGAGAGCAGGTGCACTCACCATAGAGACAGAGAGGGAGAAGGTACCAGCTAATAGTGTGTGGTCACACATGACCCCCTGTCCTCTGTTTCTCCATTCTTTTGCGATTTGGGTCACACATATATGCGTGGTATACTTTTTTCAAGCCTCTGGGGCCAGGATTTGAACCATAGCTGATCCTGAGGGATCTGGATCTCTTACCCACTAGGCTGTGGAGCTGTCCCTGAATCTTGCTTTTTATTTAAAGTAAGATGTTTTGCTTTGTTTTAATTTGCCAGAGGGTAATACACTTGCCAGAGAGAGAGTCAGAGAGACGGGGAAAGAGAGAAAGCACGCCTGAAATTAGGTGTGTCATGCCATACTCCCGTCTCCTCCAGCTCATCACTTTGCCAAGGTTTGGGGGCACACTTTTTTTTTTTTTTTTTTGAAGAGGTTTTTGCTATAGGGTGCGTGCTCTCGCCAGAAAGACAGAGAGAGAGAGACATAGAGACAGAAAGTGAGAAATCACCCCCCAGAGGGGATGGTCAGGCCGCAATCCCTTCTCCTCCATTCTCTTCTCGGGATCTTGGGCACGCACGCACACACGCCCGGCGTGAGTTTTAAGCCACCGGGTCCGGGACACAAACCGTGGTCGACTATGTGGGAGTCCAGCGACATAGCCATTATGCTAACTGCTGGTTCCCTGGGGGCACACTTACACACATAGTGTGTTTTTCAAGCCACTGGGGCTGGGATTTGAACCATGCAGTGAGCCATGAAAAGCCTGGTTCCCTTTATTAACCGAGTCACTAAGCCAGCCCTAAAGCAGGATTTTAGGTGGCCATTTCAAGAAAAACATTGCAGGTACTTGGAAAATACCCACAAGCAGGCATTTCAGTGCTATGTTACTATTCCTTAGATTTCTGCACCGAATGAATTTGATGTCATGTTTAAACTGGAAGTTCCCAGGCTTCAGCTAGAAGAATATTGCAACAGTGGTGCTCATTACTTTGTGAAGTTCAAGAGAAATCCCAAAGGAAATCCTCTGAGTCAGTTCTTAGAAAATGAAGTATTATCAGCTTCTAAGATGCTGTTGAAGTTTAGAAAAATCATCAAGGAAGAGATGAAAAAAATTAATGGTAAGATTTTTGACTTCTGATTCTGTAAGGCCTAGTCACACCTAATTGCCAATGTGCACGCCTCTCCTGACCTTTCTTGACTTTCCTGGAGCAGACCTTTGACTACATCTTCTAGAATAGACTCTGCCCTTGGTTTTAGTCTGCTGCATCTTCTTGGTTTTCTTTCTACATGTTGAATGTCTTGGTCTTCATTCAATATTCCCTGACTGTGGCCTGTGCCTGGGTGTATGTGCCTACATAAAATCTGTGGGGTCCCCCGCTGAAACTGTTAATCTAGTAGGGAGACGCGAGTGCAAATAACACATACCACAGATCATGGCACATAGCGAGTGCTCTACCAGGAATGAACTGGGAAAAGCTAATTGGCTTGAAATGGAGGGTGGGGGAAGAGTGGAATCAAAACCGGAGAGTTTAGTAAGGGAACAAGAACAGACAAAGGGAGGAGTGGCCTGAAGCTGAAGAGGTGGCCAGTGACCAGATTCTATAAGGATTTGTAAATACTAGAAAGGAGTTTAGATTTTAATCCATGTTCATGGATAAGCCAAGTTTAAATGAGAGAGAAAGGATTGGCTTTGTATTTTCCAACATTTACTAAGGTTTCATTAGGCAAGATGTTATAAGAAAAAGGGAGATTAGAAAGGAGAATATTTAGTAGTTTAGGTAAAAGATGGTGGCAGCTTGGAGGGGTTGGGAATTGGGGCTGGGGGTGCAGAGAAGCAAACAGATCTAAGCTGAGCAGTTTTTGCATCCAGATTGAGGATAGGGGATGGGAGAATTGAATTAAGGTGGCTCCCAGGGTACCGTGGTGCTGGCAGTAGGACACAGCTATGTCATGCTGGGTGCCACGTAGGAGACCAGTGGTTTGAAGCCCTGTTGACCTGTATGCACAGGACACATAAATACATCTGCCATCCTGGCTGGCAGGAAGGCTAGGGGAAGAATGGCATCATGAGACCCTGTCGAGGGTCCCTTTCTCTCTTCCTTCTTTCTGAAGGAAAAAACAAACAAGAAACAGATGGATTCAGTTTCCTGGATTGAGATGGGAATGATGAGGAGAAACATATTTGGAAGTATGAGGCAAGAGATAGCCTTTGGATATGTTAGGTTAGAGATTCCCATGATACATCAAAGTAGACATCAGGTACATGGTTGGATGTGGGCTTGGAGTGCAGAGAATGTATCTGGGCTACACATAAACACTTGGAAGTCACCAGCATGTAGGTGGTATTGAGAATGGGTGAGATCAGCTAGGTGGAGTATAGATTCATCTGTTCACCAGTTTGGTCAGTTTTCTCTCGTTATCTGATGTGCAGACATTCCAGGTCTTTAGGATACATTAGGGAACACATACTTGAAGAACCTCCACCCTTCTGTATCTTATACTCTTGTAAGCACGGAAAACAAACGGAAAGAGTAATTCTCTTACATACTAGAAAGTAGTAAATGCCATAGTGAAAAAATGTAGCAAAGTGACAGGGATCGGGTGTGCTGGAGATGGGGTGGAGGGAAAAGAGGATGTCATTGGAGGTTGGGGAGAAGAGAAGGAGGAAGAGGAAGCTGAGTTTTACACGAGTGGTCATTGTTTAGAATGTTACTGACACGGGCCAGCAGATGGCATAGCAGTTACATCATTGGGCTCCCACATGGCTGACCGCCAGACCTGGCAGTTTGAAACTTGCACCGGGTGCATGTTACATGCATGCCCAAAATCCCGAGGAGAATGGAGAAAGGATTGTGGTGTGACCATCCCCCCGGGGGTAATTTCTTGCTTTCTGCCTCTCGAGGAGATCTACCCCCTATGAAAAAATCCCCAAAAAAAAAAAAAAAAAAAAAAAAAAAAAAAAAAAGGATGCTACTGACATCCAGAAAAAACAATGGGTGTGGTCTTTGGTTTTGTGGGGCTGTTGGTGACTTTAGCAAGAGCAATTTCAGTAGGTGGACACAAAAGAGTGAAAGGGTCGGGGAGCAGTGCAGACACCCGCAGGCAACTCTAGGAAGGGGGAGGAAACAGAAAGATGGGGTGAGCATAGGAAGGACAAGGCTATAGGGCCAAGGGATAGGTTTTCTGTTTTGTTTTGTATTGTTTCTTAAGAGAGTTTTGCCATAGGGTGTATGTGCTTGCCAAAGAAAGAGACAGAAAACAGGAAATCATCCCCCAGGGGGTTGGCTAAGCAATCCTTTCTCCTTCATTGTCCTCTTGGGATTTGAGGCAGGTACACCCAGGCACCTGGCCTGAGTTTCAAGGACCCAAACCACGGTGGGCCCTGTGGGAGTCCAGAACCCCAACCACCACGCCACCTGTGGCCCCAGGAGAGGTATATTTTAGAGTGGGAGACACAGCGACCCTGTGCATGCACTGACGAATGATCCAGGAGGGAGGGAAAGATGCCTAGCTCAGCAGAGGGAATGACTGAGGAACACATGTTTGAAAAGGTGAGAAGAGAGGGATCCAAAGACCATGTGCAGGAGGGGCCTTTGAAAGATGGAAGGATACTTCCTGAGTGGTAATCGGAGGGAAGAGAAATACAGGTCAACGGTTGTGCATTTCTCTAGCATGTTCTCCTTTGATTTCTCTGCACTCACTCTGGTCCCTCCAGAAATCTTATCTGGGAGTAATTTTCTATTACTTCTTCTACAACCCTACCTCCCAAAGCCACCCAAACCTTTAACCACCATGACTGTCAAGCCACTGGGCCAGTGGGTGTGCCATAGACACCTAGGGCCCACTGTGTCTAAGGTGAAGTTCAGTTTGACTCCGGGATGACATACCAGGCTCCTGTTTCCTCCTCATCTCACAGATCTTGTCCATCTCCCAGTTCTGTTGCTTTTAACTTCTGGAATTGCTCTCCGTTCTGGTGTCTGTGGCTTGGAGCTCCCTGCCTTCCTGCAGCCTCAGTGCTGGCCAGTTGCTGTGATCTTGATGGTCTCTCTCTTCCCTGCTACACACCTGGCCTCTTCCCCAGGCTTCCCTCCCAGCTGGTGTCCATAGTTCTAAATGAAAAGGTAAGTGCAGCACTCCCAAACCCCAAAGTCTTCAGAGCCCCACATTGTATGTGCAGGTAGAATCTTGACATTGTTTCCCACAGTAGATATCAGTAAATATGGTTAAGAGAATAAAACACTTTGCCCTGGGGCTGGCTGGTGGCGTGGTGGTGAGGGCAGTGGATTTCACATGGCCGACCACATGGTTTGAGTCCCTGACTTGGTAGCCAGGCATGTGTGTGTGCCTAAAATCCCAAAAGGGAGAAAGGGAGGAGAGATAGCTGTGTGGCCATTTCCTACGGGGGTGCTTTCTCATTTTCCCTGTTTTTTTTTTTCTGCTCCTCTCTGGCAAATGCATGCACCCTCTGGCTAAGCACCAATACAAAAGCCAACCAGACACCACGTTGCCTATGTGGCCAATTTCCATTTTAGAACTATGCTCACCTTCTACTTAGTACTTCATAGACCTTCAACTATAGTTATATTTCCCTCTTATTTCCAGAGAAACTTGGTTTGATAAACCCTTTCTTTTCCTCTTATGTGTTTAAACAGATGCAGACGTCACTTTGGAGAAGAAGGAAAGAGGAAGCCCTGCCGTAAAACTTTGTATTAAAAAACATGAAGAAATATTCGTGGATATTATTTTGGCTTTGGAATCAAAAAGTAGCTGGCCTGCTAGCACCAACGAAGGCCTGCCCATCCAAAACTGGCTTGGCACAAAAGTCAGACAGGAGCTGAGACGACAGCCATTTTACCTCATACCCAAGCACGCAAAGGAAGGAAGTGGTTTTCAAAGTACTGTAATTAAAAAAAATTATTTAATTGTATTTATTATTATTATTTTAAAGTTTGATCAGAGAGAGACAGACAGAAAGTGAGAAAGGAAGTTGCCTATTTGGGACTCGAACCCATGGTCAGCCATGTGGGAGTCTAGCGCCTTAACCACCATGCCATCTGATGGCCCCGAAAGTACTGTACTTTAGTTACTCGATTGATTTATATTGAAAGCTTATTTCATGATAGAGAGCATGTCCATATACATGAAAAAAAGAGAGGAAAAAAAAAAGAGGTAGAGAAAAAGTACTCTGAACAGAGTCTCATTACACCGGGATCTCTTTTCATCACTTCCGTTGTGTTTTCATCCCTATGCCTCAGTGTCTGGGCCATCAAGGTATTTTAAGTGTTAAGTTAATGACATAAAAGAGTCTTAAAGTGCTAGGTCACTATAAGATCAACAGCCAACTAATGCTGCAGGCAGTTGGAGTCATCAGACTAAGGAGGTTACCAGATGGGAGTTTAGTGAGAGATGAAATTGAGGAGAGCATAATTGTAGTAGGAACAGACACTCAGCTTTAAAATGCCTAGTACCCTGCAGTTGAATTATATATACTATGTTAAATATATATATATATATATATATATATATACACATATGTATACACACACACACACACATACACATATACACACGTGTGTATGTCACGTGCATGTATTTAATTTGCCAGAGGGCGTGTGCACTCACAGAAGAAAGAGAGAGAAAGGCAGAGAAAATGAGAAATCCCCCCCTCCCAAGGCGGGATGGCCACACCACAATCCCTTCTCCATGCTCCTCTTGGAATTTTGGGCATGCATGCACTTGCACCCGGCATGAGTTTTAAGCCTCCAGGTATGAGACTTGAACCACTGTCAGCCATGTGGAAGTCCAGTGCCTTAACCACCATGCCACCTCCTGACCCCGTAGCATACTTTTTTTTCGGTTTGCCTGTTTGATCAGGATCCAGATAAGGTCCACGCATTGCGAATGGTCAATATATCTGTTAAATCTCCTTTAACTTAGAACCTCCTCTTTCATTTCTCTTTTTTTCCTCTCAGTATATTCACTGAAGTAACAGATAATGTATCCCATAGTTTCCCTTAGAGAGGATTTTGAAGGCTGCATTTAAGTAGTGCCATTTAACATGTTCTAGTTTCTTCTGTATTGTACTGGTAGTTGGATCTAGAGGATAACTGACATTTTTGATGCTATTATAGATAGAATTTTCTTTTTTTCCCTTAAAGCCTAGCCTGGTGGTGCAGTCAGTGGCATACTGAACTGCTGAAGGCACATGGCCAACCATGGGTTCGGATCTCTAGCCGAGTTAGCCTGAAACATTTATAGTGTGCACGTTTGCCCAAGAGCCTGTCAAGTTAGAGAGGTGGGAAAGGGGATCATGGTGCGACGAGACCGTTGAGGATACTTCTCTTTCTCTGTTCTCTTTTTCTCTGTCTTTCGGTTGTGCACTACTTGCTCTCTATTGTGAGTTAAAAAAAGATTTTATATTTTGTTTGTTGCCTCATGTAGAAATACATCTAATTTTTATAGTCACAGTCTTACTAATTCTTTTAATTAGTTTTGTGAATTTATTTGTAGATTCCTTTTTATTTTCTACATATGCAGTTATCACATAGGTAGTAATAGCTTTTTTTTTTTTTTTTTTGGCCAGAGAGAGACACACAAAGAAACAGAGTGAGAGAGAAAGCACCCTTCCCCCCACACCCCCACCAGTTGGGTGTGATCAAATCGCAATCCTTTTTCTTCCACTTCATCTCATCAGGATTTTCGGCATGTGCACTTGGCTTGTGCGTTTTTGAACCTGTCAGCCAGTGGGGCCCAGCCAGTGGGACCCAACTCCCTATGCACTGTGCTTAACTGTGGTGCTGTGGAGCTGGCCCGGATGACAGTGCTGCTTGACCCTGCCAGTGCTGAAACCCTTACCGTGACTGCCAGGACACCCAGTGCATGCTGAACAGGATGGGGGTGGAAAACACCTTGCCTTCTTCCTGACTGCAAGTGGAAGACCTTCAACTTTTTACATTATATTATGTTACTGTAGTTTGCTAAAATGTACTTTTTATCAAAGCAAGTTCTTATCCAGACTGAAATTGCTGAGAGGTTTTTTTTTTAACTTTTACTTATTCATTCATTTATTTTAATTTGACCAGAGGGAGGGAGGGAGGGAGAGAGAGAAAGAGAGGGAAAGTGAGAAAGCAAGCCAACAGGTCCAGGACTTGAACCGTGGTTAGCCATGTGAGAGTGTCCAGCACTTTAACCACCATGCCACCTGCTAGCCCTGACGTGTTTTTTCAAATGATGAATGGATGTAGAATTTTTCTAGCTGCATTTTCTGTATCTATTGAAATGCTCATATGATGTTTCTGTTAATGTGACAGGTTATATTGATTGAGTTCTAATTATAGACTATGCATTGCCATATAAAACCAGCTACGTAATAGAGTGATTAGAGCTCTTTCTTTCTTTCTTTCTCTCTCTTTTTTTTTTTTTTTGAGAGATTTTTGTTATAGGGCACGTGTGCTCGCTGGAGAGACAGAGACAGAGGGTGAG